AGCCTGGATTAATTGCTTTGGGGGAAGTGCTTGGGGGGGACATTTCTCTGTGGACCACCAACATTTCCTCACGGACCACCAGTGGTCCCGGGCCCACTGGTTGGTGACCACTGCTTTACAGCATTCTCTGGATGGTTTACAATGTCAACATATTTCCCCCAACAATCTGGATTCTCATTTTACCAACCTTGGAAGGATGGAAGTCAACCTTGAACCCCATCAGGATCGAACTCCAGGTTGTGGGCAGAGTTTGCCTACAATATTACATTCTAACCACGGTGCTACCAGGGCTCTTATTCTTCCTGCTTTCTTAAAAACTATCTATAGTTTCACAGTTAGGATTATTTCCAAATAATTCAATTAATTTCCCATTTGTCCTTTTGCTTGCAGATGTTTCTGTAGACATGCCAGATCTTCTAGACATTACTCATCTCCGAGCAACGGGCTTTCAACCAGGAGAGGAGGAACTTCCAGACATCTCTCCACCTGTGATCATTCCTGATGACCCCAAAGGTACTGCCTACTACCATGAGGATTCCTACCTCCACACCATTCTCCACCACAACTGTTAGTTGATCTTCTTTTTTTGTTTCCTTACCATTTCGCCTCCTTTCCTGTTCGCATGGACCATCTTCATGGATGCCAAGCTACAACATGATCACTGGGAGTCTTGTTGGCAAGAAAAGCAGGCAATGATGGAACCAAGATCTGGTTCTTTGATGTAAACAGATCTATTGGTCATGCTTGCTTCAGTGGATTTGGCATGTTCTGTGTCTGTTTTAGGTCAATGCTGTGGTGGAACTGGAGTAGACTGGAGGTCCAGAGAAAGGGAGATCATGAGCAAAGTTGAGGAAATCTATTCAAAGAATAACAATATAATTGTCCTGCATCCTCGTGGTCAATTAATGTGTAAAATCACAAGAATAACGAATGGAATTCTTTGTTGGCCAACTGTGAAGGAATTTCTCTCTGGTGCATAAAGCTTTCAGTGTACATACAAACAACAAAGTGATAGGTCAATCAGAATAGAGTTGAAAGGGACCTTGGAGGTCTTCTAGTCCAGAAGGTCATAGATTATAAATCATAGTTACAATCATTAATCATAAGATACAAACAAGAAGTGATAAATAATAAGATATCAATAGGAGAAGATAGCAGAAAAGGTGAGAAGATGAAAAAGATGAGAAGGATAATAGTAATACAGCCTATTACATGGGTAAATATCTTTAGGCCTGAGACAGTATTGTGGGAATTAGTTGTTTAGCAGAATGATGGCATGGGAGAAAAACTGCTTAGTTGTTTTGGCATGTAATACCCTATTGCGGTGTCCTGGGGTGGGGGAGGAATTGAAACAGTTTATGCCCTGGATGTTAGGGGTCTGTAGATATTTTCTCAGCTCTCTTTCTGGCTTGTGCTGTATACAGGTCCTCAATGGAAGGCAGGCTGGTTGCAATTATTTGTTTCTGCAGTTCTGTTGAAGTCTCTGTCTGTCTTGTTTGGTTGGACCAAACCAGACAGTAACTGAGGTATAAATGACAGACTCAATCATTCCTCTGTAGAACTGTATCAGCAGATATTTGCTGATATACTATAGTCCCTTGTCTGGAATGGAGTGAAGTGGGTAGATTCATGAAACCTCTAGTAGGAGGGCATGATGTAAGGTAGCAGCTCAACCAGTCTAAGTAAGGAAGGTATGTACTATTCATGGATTGTCCACAACACACAACATTCAGGACTGGAATTCAAGCATATACATTAAAGGGGCGTAGGGATTACTTTTAAATCCTCAGAAGGAAAGTTTCTGCAGAAGTGGTGTGGACAGAAAAATTTGGTCTCAACAAAAAATCCGTTCTATCTAAAGATCAAAGTAGTTCATTTGGGCTCCCTAGTATAATTTTTTCTAGAGCTGGTTTAAGTTGGAATTCTTGCCACTTCCAAAATGGAATAGGTAAGGACTTTGCTGATGGCAGGCCTGGGGACACCACACTGGAATAGGATCACAAAGAACATTTTTTTAAAGTTATAGGGTGATTATTTTCTTTTAATGACCCCATAATCCCTTGGTGGGCAACTGAATGGAACCAGGGGTGGGATTCTACAGGTTCGCACCTATTCTCTAGAACCGGTTGTTAACATTCTAAGCAGTTCGGAGAACCGGTTGTTAGAAGAAATTACTGGCCTAATCCTGTATGGAAAGCAGGAAGGAAACATTCTGGTGTTGCTTACAGAAACTGCCTCTCCATTAACCCTTATTACATTCTTGGCAGGACTAGACTTCCTGTCTCAGGAACTTCTCTGGAGTTTCCCCCCCCCCTCCTTTGCTGGTACTTTGCTTATGTGGAGTGACCATTCAAAGTTACAATGGCACTAAAAAAAGTGACTTATGACCATTTTTCACACTTACGACTGTTGTAGCATCCCCACAGTCTTGAGAGGCCAGGCAAGGAGATGCGTGCCTCGATGTGTGTGATATTGAGTTGGCCACACCCAGCCAATAACATGACTACCAAGCCATGTCCACCAAGTCATATAACCACCAAGCCATGCCCACCACCTAAGCTACACCCGCAGAACTGGTTGTTAAAAAATTTGAATCCCACCCCTGAGTGTTTAGTGGCCGGATGCCCTTCCTGTCACCAGTGCAGAGTTTTTCTTCAGCAGATACATTTTCATTGTGCCCAAAGAGAAAGAAATATTTGCCTCTACCTAGGATCAAACTCATAGCTTTTTGATTGTGAGGCGAGAGCTCCACCTCTAGGCCACCGCACCACTCTTTTAAGCTATAGGGTGATGATCTAGTATTTACACCAAATGCAGAACCAGCCAATTTCCATTTTTCTGCCATTCCAAAATAATTTGCTCTCCCTTAACTTAACTTTCTTGACTTTCAGATGGCATGATGAACCATTTCATGGAATGTATGTATCCCATTTCTTTATGTTGGTTTTATTTTTGTTTGAAATGGCTGAGCTTACTTGCTGTGACTCGCAGAATCTTTACAAATTGCATGAGAGCTATAACTGTGTTCTTCTCCTGCATAACGTTCCACCTGTCCTGGGTCTGTGTTGACATATTTGAAGAAATCTTAAAACTCTGGAGAGAGCTGTTCCCTATCTTGGAATATTCCATGTTCTCATAGCTGATTTCAATATTATTTTATTAATTTTTGCAACCCAAGAGATTTGCTGATTAATCCAAGGGATCAGTATTTTGTTTGCCATTGCTAATCAAATGCTCCTTCGAAACTTAAATATAATGGCAACAGCCTCTTTCATTATTTTGTTCCCCCTAACACAAACTAATATAAAGCAGGACAAGAAAGACAAAGGAAGAAATAAATTTGGGTCTAAGTAGTTAAGACACCAGCTAGAAATTAGGGAACTATGAATTCTGCTTTAGACGTGAAAGCTGGCTGAGTAAATTTGGACCAGCCATTCTCAAAACAGTCCAACCCACTTCACAGGGTTGTTGTTGGAAAATAGGAGAAGGAAGAAGTATTAGGTATGTTCACCACCTTGAATTATTTCTAAAAATAATAAAGGAGGGATATAAATAATAAGTGCAAGAAAAGAAAAAATATGGAAGAAAATAGAAAAGAGAGAAAAAAGATATAAAGAAATGGCTTATGATATTCTTCAAAGCAGCTATAAGTACAAATATATTTGAACCTTGCTAAGGTTACATCATCATATTCTTTCTATTATCCTGTCTAATCTTCAGAACTATAAATCACAAGTTCATCTTTGCCTAGCGAAGTTATGACGGACTTTTCAAAAGCTATTTATGACCGAGTTTTGAAGTTACAATGGCCATTGCACATGTACACACACACACATACACAGAGTCATGTGATTGCATTTTGTGCTTGGCAGTCGGCTTGCCTTTATAGCCGTTTGCAACGTCCCACAGTCATGTGACTACAACAGAGGTCTTATTCTCGCGGCCCGTGGGCCAATTGCGGCCCGCAGGACAATATCCTGTGGCCCCCACCGTGATATGAAAGTATAATATTAGTGTATAATATAAATATAAAGTATAATATAAAGTATAATATTATGCGGCCCAGCCTCACCCAGACTCTGCCTCCAGCGGCCCCCAGGTAAATTGTGTTTGAGACCCCTGGACTACAATTTTTATCATTTTTTGGTCAACTCCTGGTAAACATTCTGGGTTCAAATATGATCATAAAGCAAGGACTACCTGTATTAAAATCTAGCCTGGGACACTGAGCAACCTTATTCAACTGGAACATTTCCTGATTTCACAACACAGGAATTGGGCAAAAATTGATGATAAGATCCACAGTGGTCATTTTTCTTTGCTTTTCAGAAAATCCACCATTTAAAAAACTTTTTTCTTCACAGTTTACCAAAAGAATATTATCAAGAGAGGCTTGCAGATCAATAGAAAGCAAGATCTTCTGGACCAATAGTCACACAGTGTTAGAGAGAGAGAGAGAGAGAGACAGACAGACAGACAGAGAGACAGAGAGAGAGAGAGAGAGAGACAGAGAGACAGAGAGAGAGAGAGACAGAGAAGGACAGGGAGAGAGAGAGACAGAGAAGGACAGGGAGAGAGAGACAGAGAAAGACACACACACACACAGACAAAGACAGAGAGAGAGCTAGAGAGAGACACCCACACACAGACAGAGAGAGAGAGAGAGAGACAGACAGACAGACACACACACACAGAGAGAGAGAGAGAGAGAGAGAGACAGAGAGGAGGAATAATATCCATTTTGGTTCACACATTCCTATCTAGCTTTACATTAATGAGACCTAGAAACTTTAAAGGTGTGAATAGAACAGAGATCGAGATTCTCTGATACTGCAGCATAATTTTGTCTTTGTGCATAATTGCAGAGATGATTAATTGTATTTAAGATCCAATTGTTACTTAAACCAGCTGAAGATGGAGGGTGTTGCTTCACCTGATCATTTATGCTCACCCCGACGGATTCTTTCAGTGCTCCATCGATATCTGTGACCTTTAAAATGCAGAATTAACCAAAAAAAAAAGGCAAGCTCGGGGTAGCTTAGCTTTGAGAGCTGTTTTGCATGGAGAACAGCCAAGGCTTCAGCCTTAGATGTTTGCACAGCCTAATAACCTCTGTCACTTTTGCTTTTTAGGCGTGATTTTGTGTCAGCGCTTTTCTCTCAATGCTGACTTTGCTGTTCTTCAAACAGCTCGAAGACTGTGGCAAGAATTTGCACAGCTCTTCCTTTTGACGTTCGGTTCCTCATACTGATCATTGCAAAAAAACTGAACTTCTGAACCTGGCATGCCGTTCCTTGTGCAAGAAATGAAAAGGAACGGAGAGCTCTCTGAGGAATTTCTCTGTTCAAATTTGCACCTCCATCAGATGATGCCTCCAGCGGTTATAATTTTTTTTTTTTAAAACAGCTTCCAGAAGAAGCTACAACATTTGTATATAAAGTGAGTTCAGTTTTCACCTGGAATGTCTTTTCTCTCTCAGCCCCAGATTTTGATGAATCCTCCGTGATGCAGCTGGCAGAGATGGGGTTTCCATTGGAAGCATGCCGAAAAGCCGTGTACTACACTGGCAACATGGGTGCTGAGGTGGCTTTCAACTGGATCATTGCGCACATGGAAGAACCAGGTCTGGGGTCTATGGAGCGTCTCAATCATCCAGGTCATGGCTGTCCCAAAGGTGCTTTCTCCAAAAGGCAACTGGATTTTGTTGTGGTTGTTATTTCTTTAAAAACCTCCGAACTGAAGAAAGGCCCAACAGAGACTCCACTTCCTCAGGGACTTGTGAAAAAACGAAGTGGGACAACAACTGATGACCTTCTTTCACCGGTCTACAATAGAAAGCGTCCTCACTCACTGCATTAGGGTGTGTTTGTTAGTAGGATTCACTGGGCTAGGGATTTTCTGTCTTCACTGTGAGTTGTATTGTGTTGTTGAGGGTAGGGGTTCACAAAGGGAGGCTCAGCCAATCTCATTGTACACATGTTGTACTCTGACAATAAAGGCTTCAAATTGAAGCTTCTTGGATGAGAAGTGAAATGTTTTCAAAGGAAAAAAAAAACCCAACACAGTCTTCTTGCTTTTGGGAGAAAGTATCTTTGGGACAACCAGGGCTGGTATTTGGATTTTTGCTTTATTATATGCAACCATGAATAAATATATATGTATATTTGTGCTTCTTGGGCAAAGGTGTATATCTTAGAAACACATTTTGATTCCTTTGCAACAGGAGTCCTCAACCTTGACTCGTGGCCTGGTACTGACCTGTGGCCTGTTCAGAACCAGGTGTGAGTGCGCACAGCTCTCGTTAGTGCGAGTGGTGTGTGAACGTGCTGATACGGGAAGCTCCATTTGTGCGAGCAATGGACGTGCGTACCCACCATTGTGTAATTGAGCTGCATGTACCCCTGCTGCTGCTTTCACAAAACCATCCCCTTGCCCCTCCCCCCCGGGCCAGTTTGCCAAGTGGAAAGGACTCCTGTTTTGTCCTTTAGAAAAACCATCCAATAGATTAGGCCCAAGAACTTTCCTGAAAAATGTAGCACCATGAATGGGAAATCCCACAGACACAGTGTAAAAAAATAGACTTCCTACTTAGAATAGGGGATGTGGTGGCTCAGTGGCTAAGACGCTGAGCTTGTCGATCAGGAAGGTCGACAGTTCGGCAGTTTGAATCCCTAGCGCCGTGTAATGGAGTGAGCTCCCGTTACTTGTCCCAGCTTCTGCCAATCTAGCAGTTCGAAAGCATCTAAAAATGCAAGTAGAAAAATAGGGACCATTGTGATGGGAACGTAACAGTGTTCTGTGCATCTTCGATTTAGTCATGCCAGCCTCATATGTCTTTGGACAGCACTGGCTCTTCGGCTTTGTAACCCAGATGAACACTGCCCCCTAGAATCAGAAATGACTAGCACGTATGTGCAAGGGAACCTTTACCTTTACATAGAATAGAATAGAGAATAGAGAATAGAGTAGAATAGAATAGAATAGAATAGAATAGAATAGAATAGAATAGAATAGAAT